TAGAGTTGCCGCTTTACCCCAGTCTCCCCCATTTATCTTACGATGAACACCGTGTAAGGTATTACAAAAATACTAACTGAATATGTATAGCAGTGTGTCGGTGGAAAAAAATGAAATATTTCCATATTTTTGTCAGGAATCTCAATAAACTTCCATAACAACTATTTCTATAAATAGCTATGAGAACCTGTTCGAAAGGTTGATGAGGAAGTGATTCACTAGTTAAAAGTTACCTATATTAAAGTATTTCCCCTTTCACGAAAGAAACAAGTTGATACTTTATTCAAAATATTTCCTCTTGCTCGGTATTGGCAATGACATTGCTAATCATATTCATATTCAACAGCCTAATTTGGAATTCTTCGGTGAATACCCAATGAAGCTAGGAATAACTTTTGGTCATCGAATAATTTATAAGCGTAGAGAAAGTGTTTTTTTTTTAAACAGTTCTATAGGTTTGGATCTGGATCAGAGTTATAATTGCTAACGGTTTTCACAATATTTAGCATTCTTTTACAAATTTTTCCACAACCACCTTAACCAATTCGACTCAAACGGAACACAAGATCTGAATACATTTTTATAATACATTTAGTGAAAGTAACTTTTTGTGACTTGAGAAAAGTCGACCAGATTCATAACTCACTATCTTCGTGGCACACACAGCCCAGCACAAGTGCTGGGAAAATTCATTATTTCACAGTTGTGTTTTAGATATTTTCAAATGTAAATAAGCCTTGAGAATTCACCAAATTTAAAATATGATTTCAAACTTTAAATTTAATAATTAAACTGACGGGTCTTTTAGAAATATATCCAACGAAAAACAAGAATAAAAGCATGGACACGACAACCGAAAACAATTGTACACCACCGGAAATTTTGTGTTGTGTGTTGAGAAAATTGATATTTTTCATTCAATAATAAAATGAGCGTAATTAAACTCAGACAGCTTCATTTTAGATGCAAGTCCGCTTTGTGGCGGCGGTCTATTTTCAACCACACAATATTCGAACTATTTGAGATTGAATAAATTAACAGAATTAAGAAATATTTTTTGAAGCTTTCATCTGCTTCTGCATTCAAGGCTGCTTATTATCATGAAATTCAATGGGGTATTCTTAACAAATGAATAGAATTTTAAAATGTTTCCGTTATAAGTCTAGAAAAAGTATAGTATTCTACTCGCGTCGACATGCTTCATTCTAACGAATAACGGCCACATTTCTTGCTTGTTGAATTATATACTATAAGGAGATATAAATATTGCTTGAAAATATTTTTGTGGAGGCTTGCAAGTTTTTTTTATTTGGAGGGATGCCGACCAACCCTGCTTGGATGTGAAGATAAAAAATCATCATCATCATCATCATCATCATCATCATCTAGAAAAATAAATAATTCTTCTCAAATGTATACTAAAAGCAAATGTATGGGAGGTGGACAATTATAGATTTTTGATTAGTGCTAATCATATCTGTCCCAAAATTCATATGATACATTTTCAAAATTTTACCTCGATTTAAAGATCAAAACTATCAAAACGAGTATATGAATATATTAAAGACAGAATCCAATTAGAGCATTTCTCACAAAACCACATAACACCAAAGAGAAAAAAGTAATTTTATCTATAAGACATATTATTTTTGTGGCAAGGAATATATATATTAGGAGAAATTTGAAGATCCCTTAAAGTTAGACGAAAGGAAAATAAATGTCAAAAAAACACATTAACAGTTTCAAATTATCGGAATATTGAAAACGGGATATTTTAAGGACATATTATTTTTTTGAAAACTTTTTGCTTTTCTACTTCTCTATCAACATATAGAACTTCTGAAAAAAGGAAAAAAAAAACTAAACAAACCAATAAAAATTCTTGAAAAGATGAGTAGATGATTTACAAACGTTTTAATAACGTAAAAACTGGATGGAAAAATCACCAGAAATAACTACTTTCAACTATAAGCATAGAATTACACAGAGATTTCATTTTTTCTCCTTCAGTTTGTGCTCCAATGGAATTGATACAGATATCATATACAAGAACGATACACAACGTAATATTGTATGAAAGCGTATCGATGAGAAATTTCACCTAAAACAAAGCTTTCAATCTCCAGTTTCGAATAAAACCAATAGTCTTCAACTCATCATCAACACTTTTTTGGATATTTCTGGAATAGTAACAATCGAAACTTCGTGAAGTAACTTCAAGTAACTTTTTTAATGTATTGTTTTTAATTTTTCGCTTATTTTTATTTTCTTTTTTACTTTGTGATCATTTTCATTCAGTACCTCAATTATTTTATTTTCATTTCACGTTTTACTGTTTAATATAATTGATATTTTAGCTTTTTATTCTAATTTTATTTGTTCTTTCATAGATTGTGAATTATAGTGAAATTATATCAGACAATGGAAGTCCGAACTGATAAAATTCACCATGGAACATTGTCAACCATTTTCAAACAAATTAAGATTTTTTTACGAAGTTGCCGAATTATAACAGAATAGCGATTTGAAGGTAAAGGAACCTAATGTAATGAAATCTGAACCGCTAACAGAATCACAATGAGAAACGTTAATGAAACAGAAAAAACAGATTGTGATAAAGTGCACATTGGTCAAACAAAAGTACAATGATGAATTAGAGACAAATAACATATAAATGACTGTGTAATTTCACCACTATCTGATTGTCTTTCATTAACAATTGTTTCATCACATTGAATTTACTTAAATCTAATGAATGCATAAGTAACCAAAATTATATAATAAATTATGATGAAAAAAAATTTTATATTGGTATTTTGATATATTTCCTTTTCTCTTTTTTTTTGAATGTGGGTTCAAAAGTTCAAAACAAATAGACTCTATCATTTTTTAAGTTTCCGTTTTTCTTCATTAAATCAAAAACTAAGGCACTGAAATTCAAAAATTACATTGTCAGTGTCTAACAATACTCAAGCAAGAAGAAGTGTCGAAGAGAAATTGTTTTGCAACTTTTCAGTGGATCGAGAAACTGTTTATCTGTTTCAGCTATCAGTAATTTTGTGGAATAAATATGATTACTCACCTAGATATTTTCGAAAAATTCGATGTCTTTATGCAAAAACTAACTGTGAGGCAAAGCTCTCTATTTGTTTGAAGGATGCTGGAATGCAGTTCTAAGGAAACTCCTTCAGTATATATACCAGTCCTTCTGACATTTCTCTGTAGGGTGCTGATTGTTAGATTGTGCTTTATTTTTCCTAATGCGACGCTGAGATAATGTCATTACATGCGTAAAATTCACTATGCTAGAGAAACGTTCTAAATGACTAATTGACCAAAAATTTGGTATACAATGTATTTCAGAAAAAACCTTCATCAAACATTTCTAAATTTGATTTTGGATTCATCAGTTATAACATATATAGTTTGTATAATAATATTCCACAAAAATATAAAGTTAGTAAAGTTTCCTCATTTGAGTGCTGTTACAAAAAATATATCATCGCTGCTCAATCGGAAAGTCATTGATTTAATAGATTTTATACTTCTGAAAAATTTTCAGTATGAACATTTAACATGTTTTCTCTCCCTCTTCCCTCTATCCTTCCTATTTTTTTCTGTCTTCTTTTTTTTGTTTTTTTCTAGTTTAGTTTTCTTTTCTCTAAGGCTAGAACTAAGATCAACAGTATTCTTCCGGTACATAGCCTTATTTGTAGCAGAGGCAATAAAAAAGCACATTTTTTATTTTATTAATTCAATTTTTTTATTAATCAAGTATTTCAATTATTCTTTATTAGGTTGCACTCTTCAGTTAAGCACCTGATACACGATATTTTTGTTTCATTATCAGGCGCAAGTATAAACAACTCAGATGGTCTTCCGACCCGTGAACATGCCACAATGTGAAAAACATTGATTTTCCAGATTCAGACCACAAACTTTCATGGATTGACCTTGTGATTTGGTAATGGTCATGGCGAAAGCAAGACGAATTGGAAAATGAAGTCTTTTAAACTCAAACGGCATATCGGTTGGGATCATCGGGATCCTCGGAATGAGAACTTCCTCTCCTTCGAATTTTCCTTTGAGTATCGTCGCGTAAATCACATTATTCATCACTTTACTCACTACCAAACGTGTACCGTTGCAAAGTTTTGGTAGATTTATGTTTCGAAGCATGATTACTACGGAGCTAACCTTCAGGCGTAAATTGTGCGGTGGTAAGCCAGGCACATCCAAGGAGTTGGTGGCTTCATCTTCATTTGTTACACAGTCAATTGGTTGGAATGAATGCATTGTTCCAATGATATCATTCTGAATTATGTAGTTTAAGTCATCTACATCTTTATTCTTAGCCGCTAAAATTGCTCGCTCACTAAACCATTCATTATTTTTGTAGTTAGTAATTATGTTTGGGAATACTTTGCTGATAAGTTCGTCTTTCGATAAGACAATGTTACAGAAATTCTCAGGGAATGAAATCAATCCACTCGATTCGTCGACCAGTACTCGACTATTACCGATAGTCAGGAATTGCTCAGAGAAATCTTCAGCAGATGTATCATTAAGCAATGCAACTCTCATGTTTGTTGTCAGCTGAAGTTTCTTCACATAGCGCCATAGATTCGATGATTTGAGGCAAGCCTTTATTTCGTCGGCAGCCGTTGATCTTGGAATTACTGGCAGTGTTTGGCAGAAATCGCCAGACAGTAAAATCATTGCACCTCCAAAACATCTCGAGCCATTGCGTAGATCTTTCAATGTTCGGTTAAGTGCTTCTAATGCACGTTTGTGTACCATTGTGCATTTGTCCCATATGATGATTTTCGATGCTGATAAAACTTTGGAGTTTTTTGAAATATTACATGTTGGTTATTCAAAAGTTTGAAGACTTAACGGCAATTTTAATGTTGCTGCTAACAATGTTGCTGCTATTCCAGAAGAAGCAACTGCAAGCGCACGAACAATAGCTAAAACTAATGACATTAGGAATGTCTTACCAGTTCCACCAGGGGCATCCAGGAAATATAAATCACCATTTCCATCATCAATTGCCTTCATTAACCATTAACAAAATTACGTTTAGCTGTCATTTACCTTTTTTTGTTATTCCATGTCAGATGCGTTTTTGCTATACCACGTTTTATAGTGACTTCTTGGTGACTTCACGGAAACGCGGTAGAACGGGAGAAAAAGTATCCTATGTCCCTCTTCTTGTTCTGAGCTAAATCGGCCAAATCGGTTCAGCCGTTCTTGAGTTATAAATAGTGTAACTAACACCACTTTCTTAATATAGATGAGGAACTACGTTTTTCGCTTGCCCTCACTATAGGTATAATAACTTTCCGCAGTAACATCGCGAACCTCATAAGGTAGTGCAACTTGGTGGCTAAAGGTATCATTTGGTTCAGAGTATGTCTATGTGATGCTACAGTTTCACACCTTGGTTAAAAAAAACACGAGTTCTATCCTCCAAGATGAAATTAGCTTTCTTCATATTTCTGAACCCAAGAAGCGAAAATCCATTTTTCATAGTAGTGAGAGGGATACCATTACAGACAGTCGTGTACATTTTTCAGCCAGTAAGAACATCAAGAACCTACGCATATGAGGTATGCGTTTCGAAAAAAATATCCCTTTGTTCGTCTATCACAATATTGTCGTCTTCAAAATGGTTCCCATCAGATATGCACTTTGGACGACGCTTTTTCTAATCCTCGAAACAGTTTTCAAACTCGATCTTTGGGATAGCCTTAAGCTTTTAGTATAAAAAGTCGGTCCTTTTAGGTTATCTTCATTTTTGGAAATAAAAAAAGTCACACGGAGTCATGTCAAGGTTTTCTTTATTCTCGGAAATGAGAAAAAGTCACACAGAGTCATGTCTGGGTAATATGTCTGGGGTAAAGTTACGGTATTGTTTTTAGCCAAAAATCTACAAAAACCATGAATTGTTTTACCACAAGTCCGGGCGTTTTTTCGGATTGCTTCACGCAAACGGTGAGTTGAACTTGACCATTCGACCTCGTGGCAAGAATGTATTATGCACCATAGGGAACCAGAATGCTTCCACTGGGACGATTGAGCCTTAGTTTCGACGGCAAATTCGTAAACACATATTTCGTCACGTGTTGAAAACTCAACGATTTTGGAACAAATTTTGTTGCCTCGCATTTCTTATACAAAACATAAGAAAAAAATCATGACATGAACTGATCTATATGCCAATATCATGACTTCTCTGATTTTGATTCGGCAATCTCTCATAACTATTTCTTTAATTTTCTCCACGTTTTCATCGGTTATTGATGTGCTGGGACCAGGGCCGTCACCATGGGGGGGTTGGGGAAGGATCCCCCTGCTTTTTCGACTTGGGAAAAAGTTGGTAAATTTTGGGCCGTGAAGATAAAAAAAAATAATAGTAGAAAACAATAAGCACAATATTATTTAAGTGTTGTTTCCTTTCATTTGTATTGAATATTCCTATACATGATGGATATGGTGGAAGACCAAGGACCTTGGTCCAAAGTAGAATAATTCCCATTATTATTTTTATAATTACCAAAATGTATTTTTGTTTGTGCATACTCTAACGGGCATAAGCATTCAGCTAATCTTTGGGTAGCTGAGTGAGAAAATTAATTTATTATAGTAGTAACTAATCCCTCGGCTTTAATTTTTTCGAAAGTTGGGAAATGTTGCTGGTGGGATTGGGGAAATTTAGATTCCCTCCCCCCCTGGTTTTTCTTTTCGCTACGACCCTGGCTGGGACTTCCGAGGTGTTCGTCATCTTATACCATTCGTAAACTTTTGTTTTCCTCATGGCAGATTCACCACCATACACTCTATGTATGGCTCTTCAGCTTCCCGAAAAAAAGTTCCCTGCAAGTGACCGTTCATGGATATCTCTCGAATACTTTCACCATCAACGCTGGTGTTCCCCGGGGATCCATATTGTCTCCAGCCCTCCTTTTATTTATATCAACGTCTTATCGGAAGAAACCAATAATCTAATATATTTCTTTGCTGACGACAGCACACTTGTCTCGTCATTCCATTTGGATTTCAGGACATCGGCCACGGAGGCACATCGTCACCGGAATCAGGAGGTTGCATATCTTAATGAGGATCAAGAAGTGATTTCTAATTGGGGTATATATAGAAATCCTTTATTTTAGCAATGAAACTGCTAATAAAATACATCTATAATCAAATACGACACCACAATGTGTTAGTCAACTAAACTCAGGAATAAAATTTCAAAGTATGAGTACTACAATAAATATACAACATCTACTTAAAATATCACAGTTCTTAATCAATATAAAACACAAATAAAATACAAATATAGAGTACAAAAAAAAGTGTATACAGTCAAAATTTATATTATATAAAGACTAGTTCATTCACCCAATAGATGACTCTTCAACTTTCTTTTGAATAATGCAAGAGTGCTACATTCTTTAATATTTTTGTTCAAACTATTGAAAGCTAACATTCCTGCATGGTAAATGAATTTCTCAGTACACTTTTTATTTTTAACTCCTACATATATGTTATTACGCGTTCTTGTATTATAGTGATGATGATTCTCATTGTATTCAATATGCCTACTCAGGTATGTATAGGTGATTGTTCATTTTATATATCATTATCATTGTATAGTAATATATGAGATCTGTCACAGCCATCCATTGCAATTTCTTCAGCATTGCTTTGATTGGTGTCTCTCTTGGTTTTCTTAATATGATCCTCATGGCTCGGTTTTGCCGTTTTCGTAATCTATCCATTTCATTTTTATTGGCAGTATATATTATCGATGCACAAAATGTAAAATGTGGTAATATAAGTGTGTTATATATTATAATTTTTGTAGATTTTGTAAGTGTTGACGAAATCCTTCCTAGAAAGCTAACATTTCTTGAGATAGTTTTCATTACCTCTTATACGTATTCTTTGAATGTTAAGCCTCTATCAATTAAGACTCCAAGATATTTCGTCGCACTAACGGTTTCTATTTCTATATTATCAATATGGATATTTAAATGTCTGCTTTCAAGTTCATGATATCCCGTTTTATTAGTAAATAACATGAATTTCGATTTATTACCATTTAATTTCAATACATTATAACTACACCACCGACTTATTTTTTGTAGGTCACTATTCATTGTATCTATCAAATGTTCCACATCATGTGCACAGTAATATACACATGTGTCATCAGCGAGGAGATTAATTTTACACTTGTCTACCTCATTAACAATATCATTTATATATCTTAGGAATAAGAGTGGTCCTAGTGTACTGCCCTGAGGTACTCCGTGGAAGTAACCAGGTTCAATTCAATGACACAAAAACCCAGGCATCGGTTTTCTCCAAGAAGATAAATGCGTCCGAACCGGATATAATAATGTCAGGTCAGACAATTCTGCTTTCTGCTTCGATAAGTTTGTTGGGGGTTAAAATGGACACCAATATGTTTTGGCACAATTATGTTGCTGGAATTGCAAAGGCTGCTTCTCAAAAGCTTGGAACACTGTTCCGAACCAGAAAACTGTACACAGCTCAGCAACTTTTGATGCTCCATAAAACTCAAATCAGACCTTATTTGGATTATTATTCTCATGTATGGAGCTCTGCCCCCACCCATCTGGATTCCATCCAGAGAAGAGTCATCCGCCTGATTGGAGACGCGAACATCACGTGCAACCTTGACAGCCTGGAACATCGAAGAAAGGTTGGAGATTCGTCTCTCTTCTATAGATACTTTAACGGGAGGTGTTCAAGTGATTTGGCACATTTGGCACACCTCGAACTTCACTGTTTAAGAACTCTTTTATCTGGAGAACTGCGTTTATGTGGAATAAACTTCCTGATAACGTTTTTCCAAATGGATTTAATCTCTAGCGATTCAAATCCAATTTGAATCGCTACTTTCGCACAGGTACCGCTCTGGGAGCGCCTTAAGGATTTTCCTGTAGTGCTTGTGTTTTTTCCTTGAAAAATTAAAAAAAAAACGGAAGCCTCTGTAAAAATTTCACACATTTGTTCCATTGTTTACGGAACATTTGATACAAATCATTTGATCCATTACTTTCAACAAACAGAAATATCCTATCAGTTGTCATTTTTAGCACTCTGTCAACAGATTCTGGATGCATAGCATGAAGTAGATGATCTGCTAGATTCATGACGAAAGGGACATTTTGTTTATAATTCATATTATCTACAAATGTCTTTACGAGACAGTCTTATTCATTCTACTGTTTTTTTGCCGCTGCCAAAACGATAAAAACATTTTGAGCAGAACATTTACAAACTCCCTTTCTTGATTTAACTTCATCACGTTCTATTTCAATTTTTCGAAACACAATTCTATGTTTATTAGCACAAGTCCGTTGTCGCCACCCACGATACAATATGAATGAGAAGCCACACACAAAAGTACATTTTTCCACCTAACAAACATGTTGTTTCTGAAAATAACACACAATCATAATGATGTCGATTGTGATGAATGTCGATATATAAATAAAACACCACCTTAGCTACCACCTGATATAAAACGCGACGTAAGGGCTTTGACTCGTTACTCCGTGATTTTTCTTGTTAGCGAAAAGATGGTAAGTTATACTTTGTGAAATAATTGGTAAACTTATGATTTGATGAGTTATTGAGGCTAAATGTTTCTTGTTTATATCAATACATTTTTTTAAAGGTATTATTGATTTTGATATCTCAGAAACGTTAAATTCAGGAAATCTCTAACCAGTTTTTAATTTAATTAATTTAACTCGATTTGATCTTACCATGATTTGTTCATCGAGATCTGTGACCAAATCTTTTGTTTTCAAATATACCCATTTTGTTTATTTTCATTAAAACGCATGTACAATCACCATAAAATTCTGCAAAAATTGTTAATAGTGTCTTTTGGCGGTGCTTCATTAACAAAAGTTGAACACAGTGATTCTATTCATTCTGATCGAGTTGGGGGTTTCATCAAAGTCGTAAAACCACACTCGCTGTCAACTAACTACGCTGTCAAACATTTTCTGAGGGATTTCACAAAATAAATTCTGCGTTTTACTATGTGAGAACCTCTTTACTTCTAAATGAACTCCATTTTTATGACTTTCGTGGTAACACAATACTTATACCAGTCTTACTCACAAAGTATAAAATATACATATAGATGTTTGGAAGGTTGCTAATATAATTCCAATTCCTACCACGTTCAGTGACTTACGCTCTATCAGCATTCTGCCCTCATTCTCTAAAATATTCGAGAAAAATGTTTTCCGTCAAGTAAGAGCTTTTCTTGAAGAAAATCGAATACTCCCGTACCAGCAGTCTGGGTTCCGCAAAAAACACGAAACACAGACTGCCCTCTTGAAAGTAATCGACGATCTTGCGAGATTCAGATTTGCACAAATATTCCTATATTCGGAGAATCATGGACTGAAAATCAGTCCAAATGAAACTTTGGCCTTATGCATAGGGTCTCAACGACAAATAGAAGAAACTCAGTGTAACTTTAGGCTCACTCTCGATAACGCAGACAATGACTGGGTAGACAGTGCTAAAAATCTTGGCGTAACCATAGATAGCTCTTTGTCTTTCCACGAACATGTGACAAACATTTTTAAAGTATCATTCCTCAAACTCAAATCGCTATATAAATTCAAGTATCAGTTATCAGAATTAATAAAACTTAAAACTCTTATTTACCCCCATATCGTGTATTGTTATTCGGTGTATTACAATTTTTTGCCGCAATATAACAAGCATAAGTTACAACGTATACAAAATGCTTGCATGCGATTTGTATGTTGTGTACCATATGGTGAACATGTCACACCATTTTTGTTGAAAATGAAGGAGCTGCATGTAAGGTACAGAGTCCAATATTTGATAAATTTTGCTTTAAACTAAAACACCTAATTACTTATATAGTTTATTGAGCAGGCATTCTGACATACCTACATATGGTCAGTTTGAGAATTAACTCATTCAACATACCTAGGCACCGTACTTCTAAATTTCAAGGATGTTTTTCTTATATAGCCTCTTCTTATCTTAATGAAATTTTACCCCTTTTGAATCATAATATTCATCAATTTAAGAAAGAAATAAAATCACAGATGCTTACTGCCCAGTGCTAATTTAAAATTCAATGTATGGTAGTGCAATGAAATTGTCAAATTGACCAAAATAATGTTAAGAATATTAAGAGTTATTAGCAACTATATGATCTAATATTTTTTTCTCTTCTCTATCATTGTAATGATAGTAAATACGTATTTTTATAATTATTTTCTTACAGTCACTGTATAATTTTTGGGAGGGGTGGAAGATAGCCTTTGGCTAACTTTTTTCCTTTTATGTATAAATGTATCTTTTTATGCATAGTAAACGATATTATTATTATAAATTTTCATTATTATTAAAAAATATTTATTCGTGATGCAAAAGCCATGCATTGTTTTTCCATAATACCGGACCTTTTCTCCGCATAACTTCAATATAATAGTTCTTATAGTGACCGTACGAATATGTGGCATGACTCCTGATGCACTACGTCACGATAATCGAAGAAAACAGTGAGCAATACGTTGTAATTTGATCGAACTTGGCGTGCTTTTTTGGTCTTGGTTCTCCTGGGCTCTTCCATTGAAACGATTGAACTTTGGTTTCGATATCATAAAAGGTTGTACCAGTTGTAAACATTTTTATGACCCAGAGTACAATCACCGTATGCCACTGACAACATTACAAGTGTTTTTGAGCACTTCATTCCATTTTATACACAAAATTTGATGCGAATTATTTGATACATTTTTTACGATAGCAGAAAATCGCCGAACACCCAAAACACTCCTAACTTTTACTCCTCTCACCAAAAAACTCAACATGCTGAACAGCTGAAACTGTGAATATATGTATATGAATATATATATATATATATATATATATATATATTTTTATTAATTTACAGGTTTATATAGGTGAGTGGGAAAGTAGGGATTCAAATAACAGGGTGATAATTGAAAATACTACTTACTTACATATATACCTAAACAATTGATCGTGTCAAAAATACTTCACTGAATTTCTTCGAAAGCTTCTAACAATTCATCTTCCATATTCTCTGTTTCACTATCACTGTCGTCATTTAAATCAGTAATGAATTTATTTCCACCATTAATATGGAAGTGTTCCATATAGTCTTTTTCAACTAAAATTACTTTTTTAATCCTTTTCTGCCAGTCTTCTTCGGTAATATTATATACTTATTCTTTAATTAGCTCTATTACCTTCTTTTCTTTTTTTTTATCAAATTTTGGATGTTTTGTTTCAATTTTCCCCAAATCAACTCGATGGGATTGAAAACACAAAAATAGGAGGGAAGTCTCAATATGGTGTGTCCATACTTTTCAGCAATACTCTCAAGGGCATACACTTTTTCAAATGTTTTTTTTTGTAAAACTTCAAGTAGATGGTTTTTGGTATAGTAATCTTCAAAATACAAATTGATATCCATTAAAAAAAATTGTATTTCATCTTTCCTCGAATTTTTATTCGGTACTTTGATGAGTTGTCAAGAACTATTACACTATTCGCATCCAAATTTGGGAGCAATGTGTTTTCAAACCATTCCTCAAAAATATTAGCTTCCATGTTCTTATGATAGTCAACATTGCAATCCTCAACTTTTTTCCACATAATTTCAAAGAATTCGGAACCCATCCTTTACTTCCTCAGCAATGCACAATGATAAGTCGCGATCTTTTGTTTGCAGGCATGTTAAGCGTACACATACCATCAGTCCACCCTTTCATTACTATGTCATGAGTGTCATAATAAGTTTGGTCCAAATAGAAAATGTGCCGTTGTTCTTGTCTATATTTAGTTATTTGTTCTGAGTATTTGTTACGCAATTCCACTATTCTTCTGCTTTCCATAACTGCCTGACGTTTGTTTATTGTTTTAAATCTGAATCCTAGTTTCTTTACCCAATTCTGAAGAGTTGTGTCACAGCAGTTCATGTTATGGCCGGAAGTATTCAATTTTTTCCTTAAGATTTCAGTTGTAGGAATGTTTTTTTCAATGATTTTATTAAATGAATATCTAAAGGTTTTGGTAATCCCGTATCACATCGCGTCTTGCGTTTATAAGGTTTGTTTTTGATTATTTTAAGTACAGTTGAGAAAGAAATTTCGGTCAAATCTGATGTTGCTTGTAATAGTTTGTTTCCCTCGAAACCAAACTTGAGATGTAGATTCTTATATACATTGAAACATGCTCTCTATGTTTCAATATTCAAATGCATCCGAATCTTATTCACTGGTATCTCTTTTTCGCATTGTTTACCATCGCTATTGGAATCACTACACTGGAAAAAGTCTGCGTTGTTATCACACTCGTTATTACGATTAGTATTTGTCCAAGAACGTCACATTTTAAACAGATAACAAAAATTTTAAGCAATTATAACTGCACCAATATCGAATTTCAACACTCAAATTGCGATCAGTTCCTGAACTGATTCTATTCATCACCGTAATATGACTTCACATTTAATTTTATGACTCTTCAGCCAATCATAAAACTCGATTAGTAAAAATCATTCAATACGAACCGCAAATTCTTCAATCCACGTGGACTAGTTGACAGCGGCTTTATTTCTCTGTATTGGTTTGTTTGGCCAACACTTTAAGTATTCACAAAACCGGTTACTTCGACAATACCAACATTAAAAAAATAAAAAAATCGCTTATGTACGTAGCTCGTGAAATTTGAGCATTCACCTTATTTTTTGAACAGGAACAGACCTAGTATAACGCTTACGTAATATGAGTTCCCCCTTCTCTTCACTTTTGAACGGAACGAAATATCGAATTCTAAGAAAATTCACGTAAAAATTATAATTTTTAGTACTTTTTGATCACTTTTGCATCATCCGTCGCCGAGAGAGCGACTGGGGGACTTCTGGTATCTGGTTTAATGGGTATTTTTGTTTTTATTCAACAGTGTTTCAATTTAGGGAATCAGCTCAGCAATTGCTGAGTAATAAGAAGTTTTATATTCTTTTGAAGAATACCTATACAAACAAACGACGAATATCAAAGTTTCAAGGAGAAATGTATTCAAAACTCACTTTACTTCAGATCCGTTTAGATGTCTCAGACAGTGTATGCAGTCGGAAATAAATTGTTCTGCCCTATAGTGGGAATAAACAGCATAACGTGGTGTAACTAAAAAAATTAATTTGCAAATGAAAAACTGTACCTAATCTGTATAAGGTAAAATGAATACTAGAAAAACAAACAAGAAATAACGGCCATAGTCACGGAATTCAATAAATTTTTGCTTGATAAAGAATTCATCAGTCAATTAACAGAGAAGATGGCTGAGAGAATAGAACAAAAAATTAGGAATCTTGAAGAGGAGGTAAAAAGTCAAAAAGAAAGGATCAACAAATTAGAACAAAAAGTAGATAGTTTTCAGCAATAAAAAGATAAAATTCGTCAACGAACAAAGTAAACAATATATGTGTATACGGGGTGGCTGAAAAACAGATGAAAATCTGCTGAATAAAATACTGGGCATAATAAATTACTAAACAAATTTGAAACTAGACACTAACGATGTTTAATTTGCATACAGGATTGAAGCACGTCCTGAAAATCATAACAAATCAAGACCTTCAATGATAAAATTGTCCAAACCTCAGATGTAGTATGAAATTTTCAAACGTAGTGATACTTTTAGAGGTACAAACATATATATTGGGGTGAAAAATGCATGATTATTCAATGGTCAAATATATGCCACAATAAACGAAAAGAAAACTAGGCTCACCTGCATGAAAGATGTAACTGAATATATCCATGATATCATGAATCATGCATCACTCTATTTTATTGTATTAGTGATTAATTCAGAAATATAAACTGTTAAAATGTATCAGGAGTTCTAGATGACAATTAATATATTTAAGCCAGAGCAATCATATTTAAATCTAGCTAGTACAAAAGTACTCTGAACACACAAAAGTAAATTGAATCATATGATGAAAATGTTCACTTTCTGCTATGAATAATTTTTGTCTTTTTGCCAGGAACTCACATAAACTATTAGAAAATATCAGGACTGTTTCTAATAGTTTCACAGGAAACTATGATGCGATTTGTCAACTGCTTTTCAATATGAATGGGTGATCTGTGAACTAATGTTTTGAGTTAAATGTACAGGAAATCTGTTTTTCCGTTAACCAGCTGTCGCACCCCTACGAACGACAACCCTCAGAAGTCGAAACTTGTGCGACCTAAATGATTGATAATAAAATTAATATTTCGAAAGCGAATATAAAAACATTAAATTCTGACAATGTAGACCTACTCAGCAGGTTCTGGTGAATGCCTGCCGAATAACAACTACTTCTTCAAGATGAACACTGGAAGGCAGCATTGAATGGCCTCTTCGCTTACCAAATTTGTCACCTCTTGTCTTATTTCTGCGTGAAAGTGAAATCTGTCTGAAAATACAATCAATTAAGTGAGGTAACGGCTGAACAAAATGAAATTTTTAATTGTATCTTTTTACTAAACTATTAGAAGGAGTCTTATGATTAAAAAAATACTGCGACTTTAAAACGATATTTTAGGCAGAAATCTTAGCCGGACAGATGCAGAAGGCTGTCGTTCTTCGCGCACTGCGCTTGCTCAAGGCACATGATCCTCGGACCCAGTGATCACTTTACCCACGGTGTGGGGAGTGATCGCTGGTTGATAATGCTGGCGCGCCCTCCCGAATGTATCTGGGATTTGGAGGATAGGGCCTGAGCAGCGTATACTACGGATATAATAATAATAATAATACTTTATTTGTTCTTCAGAACATCAATATGATATAGAACACTATATTTCTCGATAAATATCAAATGAGGGTGTAAGAACTACATAATGTTTTTTCTAATTCAGGAATTAGAAAAATTCTAATAATTAGATGGATGTAGCCTTTAACTACGTGGTAGTAGAACATCATGAAAAATGAGAAATAAAACTTCCTATATTATTTAATTTATTAAGTAATCTACAGAACAAGCAGCTCCAATAAACGATTACCATATCAAAACCTAATTTAATAACCATTCTCAATATAATACAATGACTAAAACTAAAATTACTCCAAATCACCTGAATAAAAATCAAACTCAAAGACACATTTAGTTGAGAACGACAAATGGACCTTTTTTATTCAAATTGGCTCTCAGTAACAATTAGTATTAATTTCTAAGGATGACATTTGACAAAAAAATCTATATTCCTCAAACAATTTGCAAGAGAACACATATTGTATAGTGGGGAATTTAAACCTAGGTTGATTCGAGGTTTAGGCAAAACAAATATATCTTTCATTCAATTAGCTATGAACAATTTCTCGGTTCTGATTTTCAACAGGAATTATTTCACAGTGATTATGATCTATAAGACTAACAACATCTTGTTTTCTGCTAGGCCGAAAACTTTATAGAACGGCATATGCCAAATGTTTCGAATGTACCGTTTCAAATTTATTTCACCTACTTCGAATGTACATCTATAAGTGATGACAAGTCTTCATCAAATCTTCATCAACTATTGAGGTTATAAACTATACACTTTTGCGCTTTCAGATCGACTCTTGAAGCTGTCAGCTCTGTATCTTATAGACAGGAAACAGTATGTAGATCTGGTGTACCCCAAGGGTCCAATCTAGGACCTCTCTTCTTTTTATTACTAATAGATGATCTGCCAGAGATAGTTCAGGAGTCGCAATATGCACTATTCCCGGATGATTTTGAATTATTCAAGGAAATCAAAAGTCAAATAGATGTGATTTTGCTACAAAATGACGTAGATAGAGTTTACGAGTGTTCTCAGACAAATCGCCTCACATTTAATGTTGACAAATGTTTCAGTATGTCAATTACTATGAAAAAACTACGGAATGATTTCCAGTATAAGACAAACAATGAATATTTAGCCAAGAGGACAGAATGTAGAGATTAGGTTACGCTGGATGTAAAACTCACTTTTGAGCAGCATATGACTAACATTATAAACAGATCATATAGAATGCTTGGCTTCATTATTAGGAACCCATTCAAATTCACAAAAATATCCACATTACTAACACTTTATAATGCATTTCTCCGTGGTACACTGGAATATGGTGCAATTTTATGGTCTCCTTATTATTTAGTTCATAAAAACATGATAAATATATTTTCAATCTTAGTTATCATACTTCCTTGAAATAATTTAAATTCACAACCTTAGAATTTATAAGAAAAGTTGCTTTTCTATTATTTTTCTATGAGCTATTGCATAATAGAGTAGACAATCCACACTTGTCAAAAATTTATCTGAACGGTAGTACACACTTTAATATAATCGTTTTCAAATAAAGTTCTCTAAGTAGTGGTTTGAACGTCCATAAAATACAATATTATATTAATTATCGAAGATTGTTCCAAAAATTGTATCATATATATTTTTTGTAATCCTAATTTTTGTTTCAGAAATGCCTTCATGTGTTCACACTCTCGATAATCTTGGTGATAATTGAAAAAGATCTTGTTAATGCTTCAGTTGAGGTTTGTATAACGTAAGTATTTCACGAATGACTCTGAAAACTTATTATTTTTCCAATGATCTGTTGAAAGGTAGACACTCTGACGTAGGGTCCGTTATTCGTTTCTCCCAAGTCAACACTAAACACTGTGTTCTCATTGGTTTATGCCGTTTTTCCCCCATACTTCCCCATCTTCCATACTTCGTTTTCCATCTCCCATACTTTTATGTTAATTTACGTCGCTTTATATTTTTGTTTGACGATCTACCTGACACTGACTAGGAACAACCTCAATAATGACTTTATTTCTTGAGATGATATGGCACATGGCACAGTAGATAGTTCAGAGAGCTCTACTGACTAGGAGACTAGGAATTACCACTGAATGTTGTAGCATATCATGATAATATCAAAGGCTGACTGGTAAATAATATTTTAATCAAAATTAACTCAGAGCAAAATATAACAACGTACAAATGTACAGAAACTAATACCCAGTTAACAATCATTGCTTTCACTTTGTTCTCTGGTAATATCTTTCTGATCGAGCAATTTCATCTTTGAAAAGCTTCTCCGGAATTCTCTTCCGATGTATTCGTCTGATTCGTCTTTGTCAGTGTCACTCACCCTTCCCAAAATCGGCCTTGGAAAAGGTGGTTTGTTCCCTAGAATTGGCCTCGGGCTATTCGGATTACTTGCTGTTTGCCTGGGGGATTTTCTGGAATACCTTGAACATTGAGGCTCCTTTGACTCAGGTGTCGACTTGGTAGATGCTGGTGAAGATTTCGGGGTCACATGCCTCAGATGAGGAGGAATATATACTGGTGCTTCTGGACTAAGTTCCGTTTTCATGAATATGCTCAGTTTGCGATAGATCTTTCTCCTTTCAGCAGATGATGATGTAAAAGTGACGTTTTTTATTTCATTTGTATTTCGTTAGTGATGGAAACGAATACAGGGTGGCTGGGGGAAATTTGATGAGTTTTCAAAAAACTGTTCATTATTATTCATTGCAGATTATATATGTAATAGGTTTTAGCACAATTACAGGTATAGCTGCGTATCAACACTACAATTAATTAGTCACAATAACAACCTACATTTCCATGTATGTTCATTATTAGGTATCATGTTTCAAATTATGTTCTTTGGTAGTTAAACGATATGTAGTTCTTCATTTCTTACCTTGCTTCACTGTCCATCATACAAGAGAAATTTCCAAAACCCCCAACGTAATACAACAAAAATTTTTATTAGCAGTATGAAAATAGGATATTGATCTCGGATTTTCAAAATTTTGCAGAATCTATCTAGAGTAATTTACTTGGAGTACAAAGACTACTACTGAAAATGTCAACCATACGTCTCGGAGAAACGTTGAGATTTTCACTAGACAGAAACGACTTTCAACAATCCATAGAAACAATGATTACAATGAAGGCTTGCTGCGAAAGCCACAGTCAATTTAAAAGTGTTTTCATTATTCCTATCTTAGTTTTTTATTTGAGTACCGGTAGGTATATGTTGTGAGTATTAGACATCTCTTTCCTTTAGTGACCAATACATTCAGGAAAGTTATGATACACTAGATTGTCTATTCCCTCCTAATCATTTGAGTCATTGTTCACATATTTTTCCATTTCACCGTCGTTATAAAAAGGGCTGGGATATCATCTGGAAAGAAATCTTTTTTTACTGCTTAACTGCTTTTGAGTAGTACTTTTGTGCCAGTTCATAGAATGGTTAACCTCTGGAACAGAACACTTCTGGTGAGATGTACTGAAAAAGTCAAAAACTTCTTCTTAAGTTCTTCTCCATTGACAAAATCTTGATGTTTTTTATGACTGCGTTCAATGCATCTGTATGGAAAGGGTCTGACAATTCTGGGACTGTTCGAGCCATTTTTTGAAGCAATAAAAACGGAGATTATTGAAATAAAAATATTAATATTTGCCGGAAGGAAGCGATGGATTTAAAAAAATAATCATTACAGGTCTTAAGGTCTTTGGGGAGGTCACCTGCAAACAACTGCATGATGCAGAAGGACATTCACCACTACTCTGAGATACACGAATCCTAAAATTGAAAGAAGAACAAAACAATACCTACTACATAGAAATGCGACTCGTCGGAAATTGCCTTATCGTGAAGTCTCTCCGCGCAGCAAGTTGGTGGTATGCAGGAATATTTTTGCTTCAACAACCTGCATCCATGAAGGGAGCTCCATGGATGTGGACAACCCTTTTCCCCGTTACTCGTAGGAATTTAATGGACCACAAGTACAAACTGAAGGAGTTTCTAGTCCCACAGGAAAACGATCATGGGGTTGAAAGAAATCCGGCAAGAGTTCATTTGCAACAGAACCTCAAAGACCCCCAATACAATGCATAATTAACCGAAAATCATTAAATATACTGTCGTTGATTGAATTGTGTACCATGGCGTCCAAACTAAAAATGACTGGTGAGGAAACCGTCATTAGATCAGTAGTGATGATAGCCACGAACCGTCACCAACCAGGAATGTGTCAGGCAGACAGATTACTTTTCATAATTGGGTATGATGCCAATGCATACCACCTGACCTGGGGAGCATTGACACCTATAAAAGTGATGAACATTTATAACATTTCATTATGGAAAACAATTTAGACATTTTGAATGTAATAAACCTACCTTCGTAAACACGAGACGTACGCAAGTGATATACGCAACATTAGGGACTACATTTACGAATAACTATGTTCAGATGTATCTGAAGAGGAAAGTTCATCGGCATATAAACTTTGGATCTAATATCTCTTCCACCAGGAATGTTTCATGGTGAAATAAATACCTGGCATGTTTGAGACAACAAACTACAGAAACACATTTGAAAGTGCAAGAAAAACAGGTATATGAAATCGATACAAATTGAAAAAAACCAGCACCATGAGAAAATCTCAGAGAAACTCATGGAGAAGGCAATGCAAGTAGGTCCAACAGACACAGGAGAAGGGACTATAAGAGGGATTCTCCGGGGTGACTTCCCTGGATTAGAAATTACAAGTTCAACACCGGAATGTTGAACAGTTTGCTCAGAAAAAATTGGTATACAGGACCATTATATGGTAAAGAGTAGTGGCAAAGGTTGCAAGGGGTTATCCTCCGGGAAAAGAGTTCGTAATGGAACCTTGTAATAGACAGATGAGCTACGAGTACTATGTCTTCTGAACCTGAATGGATACAAAGTACTGGGCTATGGACACGGAGTACTGGCTTATGCAGACGACTTAGTAATCCTAGTCTAGGGCTCCACTATAGTGAAGAGGCGCATGTAGCAAATCCTGAATTTTACAATTATATGGACAGAAGGAGCTCAACGAAATCGACAGTAATAGTATTCAAGAGAACTTAAACAAAAGGCTTAGGATTTCTTAAACTTCACCGTGGAGAGATACATCGGTCTGGGAGAGTCAAATGTCTGCTAGTGATACCTGGAACTAAAATCAAGAAGCGATGGTAGCATTAATGCTGGGCAAACGCACTTACGGTATGAGATGAGGGGTTCGAACCAAACATGATGTATTGGCTACGGCGGTTAAACCCATGATAATATATATGCATCTATGGTCTGGTGAGAAAAGATGAAACAAACAACTGATATTAAGAAACTAAGCAGGCTGCATGTTTGATGATAACGGGACCAATGAAAGCCACTTCAACACTTGCATTGGACAGAATTAAAAATATTCCTCCTTCACATCTTGTATTAATGGTGGAAGCCAGTTTGGGCTAATTCAGACAGGAAAATTCACTGAGTTAGATGGGATCGGGCAAGACAGAAATTTCATAATATGTGGAGGAACAAACATCTAACATAATATTGACTGAATGTTTTTTAGGGAGGTCCACTGGTTGTTCCTTGCCTTTATAGGTTTTCACTCCCCTGAAAACCATAAAGGACAAATTACTAAAATTTTTCCAGAAATATTACTCCGTTTGAATAAAAAGGGAGGTTACATACAAATTGAATGAATCCTTACGTGAATTTTCATTCAAACACAGTAACATTTCTGGACAAATTTGAATAATTTTAAAAAGTTTTTGATTCCAGAAAAGTGGTAACCCATAAATATAAGGACTCAAACATGTTATCGGAGCACATGACACCGAAATAACGTTCGACCAACCTTCGCGCTTAAACTGAAAAACGACGGTCTCCGTAGGGGTACCAAGTTTAGTACGGAACCAGTGGGTTTATAAGAAACATAAAGAATACTGGGAAAATATATTCGGGAGCACACAGCAGAATCTATAAAAAGGGGCCGCCCGGAGAACTGAAGAACAACGTCACTCTCTGTCGGAAGAACACCTGAAAGAAATGGGGCTGTACAACGAAATCGTTATCTGCAGAAAATGCAACAAAGAGACAGAGATCACTCATCATATTTTATTCGAATTTGAGAGTAGCAACACGCCAGAAAAATGTTTTTTTGAATAATCATAAAATACTGAAGCATTATACAGAAAGAACTACAGGAAAATCCTTAAGTCGCTCTAACAGCGGTGCACGTGCGAAAGTAGCGATTCACATTGGATTTGAATCGCTCAGGAAATTCATTCCACATAAACGCAGTTCTCCAAATGAAAGAGTTCCTGAACATTGAAGTTCGAGGTGTACTGAGTTGAACCTAAAAATTATGAGCCGCTATAGTCCGTCGCGTATTTGTGATATTCACTGCTCTTGGTGGAATTGAATGTGCCAAGTCACTTGAACACCTAACGTGAAAATATCTATAGAAGAGAGACAAATCTCCAACCTTTCTTCGATGTTCCAGACTATCGAGGTGGCACGTGATGTTCGCGTCTCCAATCAGGCGATGCGGCTCTCTTCTTGACGGATATGCTCATGGGAGGAGCTCCATACATGAGAACAATACTCCAAAGAAGATCTGATCTGAGCTTTATAAAGTATTAAAAGTTGCTGAGGTGTGTACAGATTTCTGGTTTGGAACAGTGTTTCAAGATTTTGAGAAGCAGTCTTTGAAATTCCTGCGACATGACTGTACCAAGACATATTGGTGTCCATTTCAACCCCCAACAAACTTATCGAAGCAAAAAGCGGAATTGTTTGACCTGACATTATTATATCTGGTTCGGAAACATTCATCTTTTTTTAGAAAACAGTTGCCTAGATGTTCGTGTCATTGAATTGAACCTTGTTACTTTTACCCCAATTCAAAATCACTTCTGGATCCTCATTAAGATAGCAACTTCTTGCTGCCCGTGAAGATGTGCATTCGCAGTCGATTTCCTGGAATCCAAATGGAATGACGAGACAAGTGTGCTGTCGTCAGCAAAGCAATATATTGGATTTTTTTTTCCAATGAGTCGTTGACATACAATAAAAAAAAGGTTGGAGACAATGTGGATCCCTGGTGAACACCAGCGTTGATGGTAAAAGTATTCGAAAGATATCCATCGACGGCCACTTGCAGGGAATGTTCTTTCAGGAAGCTGCAGAGCCATACACAAAAGTACAACAGCTGTTAACTCACATCAAGTTTATAAGAAGTTAGCTTTTAGGCCATTGGCGAAGTTAACATTTCGAGTAGGGAATCAACGATGAACTTAACTTGGCCTACCCTTTACCGTATGTTTCAACAACGAAGGATAAAAGGGATAATTTTCACCATATTGTTTTGATTCCGGGTTTTAGCATGGTCTTCTTTGGTTACAATCTCCAAACGTTTCAACTTCAACTGCGGCAGTCATTTTCAGTGGCGTGGTCGAAGTACTCTTCTTGACTAATCAAGTTTCAGTTGATACGTCAAGAAGAGTACTTCGACCACGCCACTGAAGATGACTGCCGCAATTGCAGTTGAAGCGTTTGGAGATTGTAACCAAAGAAAACCACGGCAAAACCAGGAAACCAACAAAAACATTGACGCCAGCCGAAAAAGCCTACATTTCTATATTTCACATTATTCATATTATATCTACCTCTGAATAGTTCTAAAATTTTCTCTTTTTGAAGTAAAACTTCTTTACGGTCGCTTGAATTGGGGAGTAAGCTGGTGAAAGCGTGGCGAGAGCGTTACGAAAAGTGTGATCAGGCAAGGTGAACGGAAGTTGAGAGGGATGTATAAGTTAGTGTAGATAGAAAGAAGCAAAGGTCAAGAAAACCTAGAGAGAGGGGAAAGTTACATTTCGTATACTACGGTAGGGGCAAGTTGCTACTAATTTTAGCAGGAGATTTCATTGTTAATTTTGCGTCCGAAGATAAACAACTCTTGGTGAACTTTCTACAAGATAATCTAGAACTACAAATGAATAATAACCGAAATGAGCCAACCACAAGACATGGAACAACAATCGATGCAGTTTTCTCTAGATATCTTTCTAATTTTCATTCGAAAACATATGTATCTCATTTCTCATTACATAAGCATATTGTCTCGGTCTTACAATCCACTACAGTAATTACTGATGTATTCGATAATAAAAATAATAAATAAAAAACCTATTCAAAAATGTTCATTCATCAATGAAAACCCGTAATAAATTTATTTGTAGAAAATTAATATATGTACATACATGCGTATATTATACATATAGGTATAGGTAAACATTACATTTTCCATTACAAACTGTAGCAGTGCTTTCAGAAAGTGAAATTCCACAAAGTTAATTCCTGCTTTGTTACAGAATCTTCATTGTTTTATCTTTCTTTTGTAGGAATTGCGTGCAATGCAAACAGATGTTTGGTCCATACTTTCAGGGGAAAGCGTGTGGAGACGCATGTCTATCCAATAATGGTCAGTTAGTGCCAGACTGTAACAACCCTGGGACATTGGGAAACTTCCTGAAACGTCTTTATTAACTGGATGGGATGGGAATGTTTGCAATTTGGATTTGTTCGTAATAAAAAAATATCATGCAAGTGTGTCTTTTTTTAAATTTTTGTCTGTTTTTATGAGTCTACTTTAAACTGTAATATCTCAGTGAATACTTAATCAGTTTAATGGGAATAAGTGCCATTTGAATCAGTGCACTTCTACCAATTAAAACAAGTCGACTAATTTCGTCAGCGGGATTCGATGAAGGCCGTTTTTGCCTAGTCCTGATTGGCGAAGGTTCTACCGGTGAGAAAGTTATTGAAGTGCTTGAAAAGATGGTAGTTGGTTGGCGAGAAGCAGGGGAGTATGGTGAGTGAGGCAGAACTTCAACGCTTAATTCGTTAATTATCGGTCTAAGATTTGTGAAACATGCGGACGGGCGTTGTTTTGGAGCAGGTCCGGTCTTCTGCTGACGCAATCAATTATCGGTACATTTAGTCGATTTTTTTACAATTGGTTTCTGCTGTAACGGTTTGGGCCCTTTGCAGAGTTATAGTGAATCACACCAGCCGCTGACCACTATAAAGTTAGGTTAGATCAAGAATGAGTGAGTCTATTCGACCCTCCACCGCACACCTATTCACACTCAACCAAATAAAAATTTTCTACCGATTTAGACGTTGCTTGGTAGGAACCAAGAGCTTCCAACGCCGCTTGACTGTCCGAGAATATTTTTATTGACTTATGTATGAGGTTGGATTCTTCCATCCACACACAATTCAATATCGTAAATTTCTGCTTGAAATACAGTCGCATAGGTTCCTAGGCGGGTTGATATCTCTGTCCTGGGTCTGCGACTGAAAACACCAGCACCAGAACCTGAAAGTGTTTTTGATCCATCTGTAAACCAACAACTATCTGCTCTTAATATTGCTTTCTCCCGGAGTATGCAGTTCCTTTACTCGGGAAGAATATTTTATGAGGCAGTTCGTAGTTGATAGTTGGAGACATAAAGTCAGATGCCATTTCCAGAATGCTGCGACTTCCAGTGTCAACCAACAGTCTGTTGCACTCTGAATCAAATTGATTTGTGCAATTGACAATGTGCAATGTGTGTCTTTTTTGGTGGGTTTTCGGCTTTGGAAAGTGCCTGGGTGGCTCATGGGTGTCCAATCACTGCCTGAAAGTCTCATGTTGTCATATAAGATCTAGTTTTCATCACACGTGCCGATCCGACTCAGAAAAGAATCGTTTTGTTTGCACAAAAGCAAAGAACAGACCTCGACACGTGATAATTTCTGTTGATCATTCAAATCGTGGGCCATCTACTCTTCGAGCTTTTTGACCTTTTCAATGCGTTCTAAACCATCAAAAATCGCATGGAAGCTGATGCCCAATTCTTCCGCCATCCTACGTACCCTTTGTGATAGGTTAGGCTCCACCAGGGTTCTCAAATCCTCGTCCTGGATTACTGCAGGTCGACCACTTCGGAGCTTATCTTCAAGGGTAAAATCTCTGTAACGAAATTTCGCAAACCAACGCCAAACAGTGCGTTCATTAATACTATCATTTCCAAATGCCTAGTTAATTTTTCAGGTTGTTTCGTCAGCGCTTTGGTTCAATTAGAATTCGCAAAAAAATTGGTCGAAAATCGGTTAACTACATCATATGCAAAAAATTAACAGCACCAATGAATAGAGTAGAAAATCCTCTATCGATCAGTATATTAAAATAAATATTTATAGAGATATGGAGCTACAAAAACATACATTAAAACGGACAAAACTTTTGAAACCACCTAATATTCTATAGATAACCTAAATTTGAATCAATAAATATATTCTATAGCGATTTAAACATTAATTAGTACTTTTCACAAATATGCGTCACTCTTGCCAGAAAAAACTGTTTTATACAGGTATATCATACATACATATAGATTTTTAAGGTTTGAAGGAAATTTTTTCACCATCATTATTGATCAGTTTAGAATTTAGTTACAAGCGTTTGTGATTTATTTGACAAATAATAAAAAAAATATAAAAATAATCAACAAAAGTGGTGTAGATGAATGAAAATATTAATTAAATCAAGTATAAAAAAATCAGACGTCGTGAATTGTGTCATTGTCTCATTTGTAGGTATTATTTCACTGTTGAAGAATTATTTAATTTATTGAATACTGTGCAGAATTTTGTTGATAAATAAAGGCAGAGATAATTTTTCCTGTCACGATGGCTGGCTTTATAATTAAGTGAAAAAAATTGTTAGATTTCATCCAAGATGCATAGAAACCATGGTGTTGAAACCAATCCACTTCTGTTTTGCCAAAAAATCTGGAGCCAATTTTGTAACCATGTTAATAGATGGCACCACATCAGGATATTCTATGTATGATAGAAATGACCGATACTTTATAAAAATCCATTATAACAAAGCAACAGTTACAAAACCTCTGTCAGGAGTAAATATCACATTACAGTGTTTTTTTGAATACGAGATATTGTATGTATTTTGATTTCATCATTTGTCTTTGAAAACACCAACTAGTGTTTCATTTGAAATAGCAATATACACAAAATACATTTGAGGTAATGCAAGCCATGGTTCAAAATAGGCACAAGCATAAAATGTATGCCCCCTCGTTCAAGTCCGTTATCAATGATTGTAACAATATCAATCTATATTTGTAGTCAAAGTTGAAAAAATATATCAATTTGAATATCTAGGAATTTCAAATTATTTTATTTTCAACGGTTGTCCCCTTGTGAAAAGACTACATATTTGGAATAAAAAGGAAGAAGCTGAGAAAAGGTGAGATAGCATAAAAAATAAGAATATAGAAGTAATTTTTCACATAAAAACTTTTACCGCTCATTAATAAATATTTGAGAACTGATCTTGAAATACTCATCTCTCCCAACCACCTACACTGTAGTTTCTAGTAAATGCCTGTTAGAAATCAACTACTTCTCCGGATAATAACATGCTGGAATAATGTCCGACAGACACTTATGTAAGATACCTCAGAGATTAGTCTCGCGGATGTTTCTCATTCATTAGTAAACCTACAGTGTAGAACCGAGTTTTTTTTAAAATAAGTAAACTTTTAATGCTATCACAAAACTATTGATTTTGAGTTGATTAGAGTAGAGAATGTATATTCATCATTTAAAACCTTAGAAAACTTGATCATTTTAAGACTAGCATAATTATAATGACAATGAATTTAACTATTCTCAAGAAATATAACATGTTTATAGTGGGGACAATGTAACGCATTTATTAAAAAAAAAAGAACATACCGAGAATAATACAAGAAACAAAATCATTTTTTACTTCAAAATTGTCACTTTATTCCAAAATATACTCTTTCAATTGTCTCAAGTTTCGTGTAATTAATTATTTTTATATTTCTAAAAATTTCATTATATAAATTAACTAAATTATGAAAAATACATTTTTGACCAAGTTTGCTTTTGTGTGGTTGTGAAACTATATTTTGCATTCGCCGTGTATTATGACCATGAATTGAAATGATTTCATATTACATATTACTGAATGTTTTTTGTTTCAAAATATTCAAATAGATGAATATTTATTATTTTATAAAATATACCTACAAGAGGTGCATTTTTTTCAAGTTAACTGATATGTGAATTTCACTGAAACTAAGAATGATCCAGGTACTATTATAAGAGCATCTCAAATGCTACCCAGCAGTACTTATTCATCTAAAAAAAAAACTGAATAAAACTCAAGTGTGTAACGTCAGTATTTACAAAAAAGATACACATACAAATTCAATTTATAAAACTCAAAACAATATAAAACTATACAATCAATGAAATATGAAGAATACATTTCAATTTACAACAGACAATTAAAAACAAAATCTTTTACACTCTTGTAATTCAACACTTCATTGTAAAGCTGTTTGAGTTTCATCAAGTTATCTTTGTGTATTTTTGATTGTGCGTTTTTGTACCGTAAGGCAGTTATGGCTTTGTCCAAAATGTAATGTAGCCACAGCAAGTTTGTATAAGGTTCGTACTCCAACCAGTTATTTCTGAAAAAAAATAAAATCAGTAAGTACTTTTATGAAATGAAAAAAAAAATGTTTGTAAACCCTCTCACCTGTTTTTCTTCTGCATTAGCTTATATACTTCGAACTGATAATCTCCTTCGGCATTGAACAAATCAGGATCTAAAGCCAAGTCATTAAAAATGACCACACCATCATATTCGATTCTTGAAAGGGTGAAATCTATAATGGCAACCTCAACGCCCTTCGTTTGGATATTGAAAGTTTCCCCATCGAGACAAAAATTGACCACTTTATTTTTTTCCACAGTAGATAGCAGCACGTTGCCCCAATGTAGGTCACGGTGTTCGAAAAATAATTGATTTTCAGCAACTGCTAGTGCTAAGGCAACCTAAAATAATTGAAGAATGTCATAATTTCCAAAGAAAGGAAAATTGAGAAATATAAATGAAAACTCTTTCCAAACTCTAGATCATCCGGGCATTTTTTTCAAGTATAAACTTGAAGGAAGATCCCATCTGAAACAATTACTTCACAATGATTCAAAAAAGTTGCTAGACTTGACTATCACTGAAATTGATAATAAATATGGTTTTGCAATAATTCCTCGACACATCTATATCAGCTTAAAGAAGCAGCTTTCAAAAGTATGCTTCACAGGCTATTGAATAATCCACTACAGGAAATCAATTTTCAGAGAACAGAGTTCCATAAAAAAATTAACTGGCAACAGAGTGGATATTGAAGCCATTATATTATGTCAAAATTACCGGGAATTGGTCAATGAAATGCAAAATTTGTATTATTCAACCAAATTTATTGTATCGCCTTCAAAGTAGGACCCTTCCAAAATAAAACATGTACGCCAATGAACAACCCAATCATTAAAAAAAAAAAAAAAAAAATTATTTGGAATTGACTCAAAAATGTGCTGCGAATTCTCTCGAGGTGGTAACTTGTGCCTTAAAAAAAAGAAAGAAATCAGCCTAGCCATATCAGGTGAATAAAGTAGCTGTTCGTTAAGATTTTTTGGGTTTCAAGCCATAAGTTCATTTACAATGATAACCTTGTGAGATGGTATGTTATCCACATATATGGTTTTTTCCGCATGAGAAGACAGTTTTGCCAACCAAGCTACAAAATTTTGACAATCCCTTCATCTCCGACTATCTGTTATACTTGAGAAATTTTAATGTGGACAAACTCGAAAATTTCAAATGAAATAAAAATCACATCAGTCTCTTTTATTTTCTTCTATTCTTTTCCGACAATAATAACGAATGTTCCATTTTATTTGATAGTTAGAAGATTGTCAACTCATTTGTCGAATTAAAAAGTATGTTTCACTTTCAAAAGCCGGGCAGAATATTCTAAATACATATTTTGAGTAACGGGTTGTGGAATTGGCCGCGGTGGTGTGCGTCCGACTCACGATCGGAAGGCCGTGGGTTCGATTCCCGCCTCGGCCAGATATTTTTCTCAAGAGAATTTATCTCGTTGAAGCTGGGATGATTCTGCAACCGTGTTAGGAATCACACGTTAAAAGGTAAGACCTTGTTAGTCCTTAGCTCGCACAAGTTTCTCAACTTCTGAGAGTTGTCGTTCGTTTGGGGGCGACAGCTGATTAACGGAAAAACAGATTTAAACAGCTTTAGGTTGTTTTTGAACATTTTGAAACTTTTGAAACTTGATGCCTGAATATTTATTTTCTTATTTTTACTTCATCTATGCTCATTCTCATATTAAAATTGATGATTTCAATTTGAAAAATATCCACTCTTTAAATTTATTATCTTTTTTATTTTCGAATAATTCTGTATAAAATTCTGTTTTTTCAGGTTGTAAACAACCTGACATACTTTAATTTGAGAGTAGCCAAATCTGACCAACCAGTAATATGCCCCTACACCATTCAAATACTTATCAACTTACTTGTTTGAACATGGCATGAGCTTGACAGGCATTGTTGAATATATAAGATTCCAAATCCTTGCCACCATTTGCCAACTGGAGGACAATGTAGAGTTGGTCTTCTCTGAAAATGTCAGGGCAGTCATTTTCTGATCCACTGGTTTCTTCATATAACTCCCACAGGTCCAGGAGTTTTTCTGGATAACGCCCCCGAACACACTGGATTTTCTGGACTTCTGAAAAAGCACATGTGGCATTTTTGTTGTTTTTCCTCAGGTTACTCAGCTCCCTGAAAACGAAGATCAGATAAAAGCTATACTTCAGGTACTCAATATCCATTTTTACACATTAAAAAAATATTTGCAGAAATGTTTGTTCGTTTGAAATCACTCCTTGTGCATTCAATTTTATATATTCAAAAAAAAAAAAAAATTTAGGTGTAATTATATGATTATTAGGCGCCTTAGTTTTTATAATTCACACATTCCCGATATAATACTTTTCTTGAAAGAGAAGTTGAACCAAACAAACAAGAAATAAGAGCCTCACACAATGATTACAATTCATACAAATTGCAGTTAAAGCTATTCACTGACACCCATCAATCATATATAATAGGAAACGAAATTGCTAATGGCTTTACACGACAGTTCCAATCAGTCTACAAACAAGATGCTGCAAATGCTCATTTATTAGAATTCAACTGCGAGAAAACTATCAATATGAATTCCTGCAACTTCAGCTTGAAAACCTTTTTAAATAAATTATACCACCAATTAGACTCAAACAAAGGTCTAGTACCTGACGAAATAACTCCTTTATTATTGAACAAATGTAGATTCACCTTGGAAAAACCATTTTCTAACTATTTACTGCATCATTTAGTTTGGGACAATTTCCACGTTCGTGGAAATCTAGTTTTATCAGGCCAATATTCAAGTCAAGGGATAAAGCAAATATAAAACATTATATACTGATCAAAATTATAAGTACGATCCCAAAACTATTATAGAGTTTGATCTGTGATCAAATGAAAAGTCCATTGAACCAAGTTAATATACAAGTGCAGCACTGTTTTTGCCTGGGTAAATCAACAACTACAAACTTGTTAACGTTAACCCAATTTGTGCTGAATGCCTTGGAATAAAAGTACCAAGTGGATGTAATTTACATAGACCTTTCCAAGGCATTTGACACATTCAATCATACAGTATTGCTTGGGAAATTTGAAGTGATAGGGTTTTACAGAAATTTATTGCGGATAGAAATGAATATATAAAAGTAGAGTTTCATGTCTGAGGAGATTTATGTCACGTCAGGAATGCCACAAGAAAGCCACCTAGGCCCCTTCTTGTTCATTATTTTCATCAATGATACTGAAGAAGTAATCAAACATTCAAAATTTATGCTGTTTGCAGATGATATTAAAATCTGTAGCTATGTGTGGCTGAAAAGAAAAAAACAAAAACTTTTTATTCAGGAATACCTTATTTAAATTATGACCCTATGATAGAATTGGCTGATACTTGATGAAAATCCCTAACATATTGAAGTCACAAAAACGCAAGAGGTATTTCAATATGTGATAATCATTTTACCCACTAATTTCTTATCTTTTGTTTGTGCTATTATGATATATATTGTTAACATATATTTGTTTTGTAATTTCAAACCAGAACTGATGAATATTTCTCCCTATCAGTTTGACAGTTTCATTCGGAAGGTTTTTATATTTTTCAAGCACATAAGGAGTTGATGAATCAGTGTTTTTCAGATTCAAATGTGTATGATTGCAAGGTATTCGCTGTTAATTGAACATGAACGCAGGGATCCCATATGGGCCCACTGCTGTTTAACTTGTTTGCATCGGACATAGAGTTTGTTTTCAAATATTCAGAATTTCTTATGTTTGCTGATGATCTCAAACTTTATCGGCAATTACTTGCCGGGAAGATGCTGAATTAGTTCAAAAAGATCTCGAAACCTTTTCCACGTGGTGTACACATAATTTGTTAGAGGTAAACATTGATAAGTATCAAAACATTACGTTCGCTAAAATTAGAAGTACAATATTCCCTGAATATATATTGAATAATATTGTTCTTGAAAGAGATCTGGGAGTTAAATTTGATAGCGAAATTAATTTTAATCTTGTGTTGTGTGTTTAATCTAATTTTGTGTTGAAAATTTCTACTGATTTTTCAATTAAAACTAGAAAGATTTTATATTGTGCTTTCGTAAGATGCATTCTTGAATATTGTTCGATTATATGGGATCCATACTATAATGTAAATATCGATTGGATTGAGAATGTTCCAAAGAAATACTTAAAGAATTGTGCTTTTCACTTTGGTATTCAACGAAATGAATATGAGTACAGTCAACTCTTAACCAAGTTAAATAAAAAATCATTGGAAGATAGGAGAATTTCTATGAACTTGAGTGTCCTCTTCAAATTAATAAATAATGAGGTAAACTGCACAGAACTACTTCAACTAATAACTTTTCATATCAAACAAAAATATAAGAGAAAACCAGAATTTTTTCATTTAAATTTTTTCAATACCAATTATGCTTTGAACAGTCCAATGCCTCGTATTTTGAAGCTGGGAAATCAATATAATAATAACTTAGATCTGTTTAATGTATCACTTCAGGTCTTCAAAAATTAATTGAAAAGGCTATAGTGTTTTCGAAGCTTTTCTTTACCTTACCATTTTCCTTCTAATTACCAGATTTGTTACATCTTTTTTCTTGTAAGTACCAGAATTGTCTAATCTTTTAATAATATAGTCACTAGACATAAGGATTTATTTATTATTCTGTATTTCACACTTTGCTAAATGTTTTGTAAAATTGTAAATTGTAATGTAGACATCAGACATGAGCATTTAAAAATACCACACACTTTGGTAAATATGTTTTTGTAAATTGGCTCTGCCTTTGAATAAATAAATAAATAGATTTATATTGCCAACATTTCAACATTTGTCGCTATATTGAGGATCCCAGAAAACTTTTAACCATGTCACCATCGAAAGTTTTTTGGAAATGTACAACAAATTATATTCATTTCCATTAATTTATTTTTTATAATAACCCTGAAAATGTCAGCAAATGCCGCGAAACGTTGGCAAATAAGTTGTAAGTAAATGAATATATGTTTCATGTCCAATGCAGTAAAAGTTGTTACTCTTCAAGAATGCATTCACAATATTTGTACTCACATTGCTATTATTACTTCAGAAAGAATTTCGTCAAACTTTTTCTGCCTCTCTCCATTAACTATTTGGTCGCCTTCTATTGGAATAACTTTCATTACAGATGTGCCTCCTTTGGGTTTTTTGAAGAGGAATACCTCTCCATAAACCCCTTCCCCTATTTTCTGGCAATTCTGAAGTACGCTAAAAAAAAAGAAAAGGTTCAATATCAGTTCAATTTTATGTTTAATTTCTAAAGAATATCTTATAAGCTTGTTTGTTGTCATATTTTATCAGCTTTCAAGTCAAGAGATTACCGGAAATCAGATCATATTAACAATTTCATGATTGTAGGTTGGCCAAATAAAAAAACTCCCAATTATAATTGTCTTTTAACCAAATTAACACAAAACCTGATCTGAGCGCAATCAAAACTTGTAGCAGATGAAAATACAAAAACAGACAAAAATATTGGTTCATGATTCATTTGTAATTCTTGGTTTTACCAACAATTCTATCAGTGATTTACTTGTTATCTGAATAACAAGTACTTTGAATAAATTTAAATAAACATATTTGCCTCGATTACCTCGATTGCAGAAAAATAAAATTTGCAACATAGAAGAAAGAGAGTATTTTCTGAAAATGAGAAGTGCTTTGGGAAAAATTAAAAAACCAACAATATGCTTTCAACCTTAGAAATTTAATTTCTATGTAACTCTAGAAAACGTGGTAAGTAAAAGATAAAAGTAGTAATTGAAATTGTTAAAACATATCCATAACCTTGTCACAAAATATATCTGTAATACTGAAAATATATAAGATAAATATGGCAAATTGAAACATACAGTTTTGCACCATCTTTGAATAATCCCTTCTGCCTGTTGTGTGTTGTAGATAGTGCTAGAGGTACGTGCAATACTAACTTAGTGCAAAGACAATAATCAATTCTTAGCGAGCTCTGATGACGTTAACATTTGTTCAGCACATTTTGGAAAAATAACTGACTTGGCACTTTCACATTCTCGAGATTTTTTTATCATGCGATGAAGAAGATTCCTACAGCTTTTCAGCCAATTTAATTGGGAACATAACTTGGTATTGTAAAAATCCAGCAATGTCAGATAATTTTTCATTACATGGCATGGACTTATTGAGAGCTGCTACATTTTATAATATTTCATAAAATGAATATAGGCCATTGAAAGATTACATTTTTGCCAAGCATAAGGGAATTTGTTGTCTTGAGAAATTATGTATGATCATTCCTAAAAAAATAATTTTTCACTTCAGAGTTAACTCCTAACCTTAAAAAACTAATTTTCCTCCCTTAAAAAACACCACCTTCAGTGGTGTAATTATGAATATTTGGAAAATTCATCAAATTCAAACAATTTACAACTGACCCTTATCTAGCATACAAAGTAAATATAAAATTGCTATAAAATTAAACATGATCTCATTTCCTGAAAAATAACTGACAATTGTGTGGTCTAGCTGATAACTACAAAGTTTGCCTAGACAAAATTGCAAACATTGTTATATTAAATATTTATGCAAAAAAATCAACATAATTACCTTTCCGGATAGCATTCTGAAAATGGTATGGGTTCCGTTTGTCCACATCTCCTCAATACGATTTCTCTAGCAGTGACAGGAGCAGGTAATGGATTTTGTGTTACAGAGCTTCTTCCACTCAACGATAGACATCTAAGGTTATTTTCCAAATTATCTTCGAGGACAACTTGCTCTGGTACATAACCTGATAAAGGTTCATACGTGAAAATTTGCATACACTTCCTCAAACTCGAACTTTCGGAACAGAAATGCATGCAATTAAATTTGGAAATTTGTTGCGCACGAGGAGTATTACAATCTCCTGATATTAAAAATTGATTTTTAGATTCAGATTCAAAAACAATTAGCTGAAGATGAACAGTTGAACCTGACCGCTGAACTTGCCGTTTAGTAAAAGTTAAATACAATATACAATCACCAATATCTATGCGCTACGCTGCGTAGACTAGTAGACACCTTTATATTTTGTTGTTCGTGCAGTGTTGCCAACTGAATGAACTATATAGTCGCTACACATGAACCAAAATTCCGCTACACTGCTTCATATTCCGCTACGCTTGTATATCTGTGACGCAATCAGTTCACGAATGCGCTCTATTCAAAATTATATACCACAAAACTTACAGTTTGTGTACCGTTCAAATACCACAAAACTGAAATGTCACTAATGTCAGGAATCAGGATTATGCTAATTTTCAACCGCGCAACTCAGTAGATGGTACCAATTTTTCTAAATTTACAGTAGTTCATTTTTGAAAGCTGTCGTCTTGGCCAAATATTTCTTAGCTTGCATTATAGATTTTGAAAAGTAAAAATAAATATCAATTTGTTCACGTATACGTATAGTCATACTGAGCTTTTGAACGATCATTCATGACAGGTATTATCCATTCTTTCAAGTTGGAATCAGACAACCAATGTTAAGAAAAAGTTTGTTTTCCAGACTTTTTGTATTTTTTTTAACATGTCCGTTCCCGCCAATTTCAACTGCGGTAACTTTTTCGCTCATGCTACAATCAGATGAACTTTCTTCCATTTCCACTGTAATTTGTTCCATATAATTCCTAATAGTCGAAACAGTTGAGACTTTCAGTTTCAAGATATTGGAGGTTATATGCTTTTATGGTTTATGATATGAAAGAAAATATCCAAAAATATTTTCTTCTCTCTCATCATTCAATTATTCAAGTGTCAACTGTCAGTTTCGAGTGCTGTCCACTGCCTCTTCTTCTTCCAAATTTTTTTCAATATTGATTATTTGTAGAAAATTCCGCTACTTCATGTTTCAAATCCGCTATGCCGCTACTTCGAGTAAATTCCGCTAGAGTTGGCAACTCTGTGTTTGTCCGATCTTTGAATTCGCGGTGCGCCTGTGCTGCTCCGAACAGGAAACACGTGATTGGAGATCTTCATTACAGGCCAGAAAGCTCATGGGTGTAATTAATTTAGAAATAGCCATTTTATCATGATAGTCCTTGTCTGAAGTCTTTCTCAGTTTTAGTTTCTATCGTTTTCTCAATAAATTAACGCCTGATCAATTTTAAGAGTAGGACTAGTGACATATTGTAATTATATCCCCATAAAGGCTGTTCCTTTTGTCCCATGAATGGGAAATTTTCTCATTTCAACAAATAAACGGAGCCTTAGACTCTTTTTTTATAACGATGACTTCTACTACCACAAAAATGACAGTTTTTTAAACAAACACAGACAAACAGACAGACAAATTATTGAATCAATCAATAATTATATTATCAGTGTCAAAATTTGGCAGGTTTTGGAACATTTGAAAAACCTTCCCAGAGGACTTTCTCAAGTATAGTGACAGTATAGTGCGTTTCAACGAGAAGGCTTTCTCAAACGGCAACAAAGAATGTACTTCCTCTTCGATCGCTACAGAGGACGGTTATACCGATAACGACTGCCCTCAAAAATGACACGTGGATATCGTGGTCGGAGTGGAGTCCAAAAGGTGTATTCTAAAATAACGTTGAGTTCGAATAAATATTGAAGTGAAAGACGTATTGGGAGGATTGGCGGCCCTCTTCGCCAGTAAACAGGCTATCAGGTCGTTGGTTCGATCATAGATGTGTTAGTTTTACCCGAAAGCCTCCCGAGAAGGAGGCGTCCAGTTAAAAATTGAATTTTTTTTTCAAGAAAAAGTGGCAGCATTGCCTCGTGCAAGACAGCTGCGCCCTCGGACGAAACTTCTGTTCGCTATGGACAGGAGGAGTCTGGCCAAATGCGATCGAAAGAAGCAACTGCCATAGAAATTAGAGAGACCTTAAATAATTCCAGACGCATGCATGGTAGCAAGTTGAGTGGAAGTGTTCAATAATAAGGAATATCCATCTCGCATCTCTAGCTTTCGGTTAATTTCATCCAAAGGAGAACGGAAAATATTTTGTTGGATCCGAGTAAAAATTTTAACTAGGCAGAAAGATATCTACGCATTGCATCGAAAGAGCAGATTTGCATTGGAAGGCCTTTAGGTGTACACCTGCGGTGCAGGTTTTCTGGGAATTTAATAATTCAACTATAGAACTATAATGCTCAGTGGCTATATTATTGACAAATAACGGAGAAACATGAAAATTAAACACAATATCAAATAGGAAACTACCCAGATATTGAGGAATTTCCATGACAACGATCAGTGATCTGACCTGCATGAAAGATACACTAGACATCATGCTCATGCATACGTGTTTCTTTGAATCCATACACGTGAATCACTTAAGTATTTCCTAATAATACACATGAACAAAGTTTCTTGTACATCGCAGATAAGGTTTTGCGTGACTAATAGGTAAATCAGGTCGATCAGGAATACCTGGACAGCTTAATATATTGTCGTCAATAATGTTTAAAAAAAGCACTAAGTAGGTTTGAAGTGAATTATTCTACTTTCAAGATTCAAAATATATATTCAGTGATGTTTCAGGATGGTATTATTGACTATTATGATTTACCATTGTCAAATATTTTTGAAAATTTCGTCTATATTTGGACTAGCTCGACATTTAATCAATAACCTGTCTATTTTATTTGAAGGTCTCTCAAAAGTATATTAACATTTTAATTCACGTATTCAATTGAAAATTAGTAAACAGTAGGTAGGTATCTCGAAAACATTCACAGGTATTTTCTAATGTTGCGCAACTGAACATCATCTTGAATGATTTTGTTATAGGAAGTAGAATAGATAATAAATAGAGGTAGTCAGGTTCTGACGAATATTTAATAGATTTCAATAAATTTATTTCAATATCAATGAAAGGAAAAAAATAGATTTGATGAATAGTTATGAATTCAAAAAACATTTGACCCAGGCAGATTAATCATATAAAAAAGTTTGAAAATGAATATTGAAATTGTCTTTTCGTGGAGGAAAATCAGTTTATTTTCGACCTTCTTTGGGTATTTTCACCTTCAACAACCTGAATATGAATATGAAAATTGTAAAGGAGAACTTTATACACGTGTAGAAAGGGCAAAGTTTTTAGTTTACCCAGATAATCTGGATTTGTCAAAAGCCTTTGATAGTGTTGAACATAAAGTACTGTGTGACAAGTTGTTAATTTATGGTATACGAGGATTACTTCTTTAATTAATAAAATCCTGGAAAATTCAAAGGGACCAAAATAGCGAAATTATAACATCAAATAAATAGAGGTGTACGCCAAGGGTCAGTCTTGGGTCCTTATATATTTTGCACTAATAATGTACCTCATACTGTGAATGAATTCATGGTGCAATATGCCGATGATTGCTTTGTGGTTTTTAGTTCAAACGATGACTCTTCTCAAAAAACCAATATCTTTGCCTCCTTGACCTTGTTACAAGACTACTTTTCAGCCCATCACTTGGTATTGAACACCAATAAAACGCAAGTCATAACTTTTACATGAAACGGTACTAGTAGTGATATTAATTTTAGCAAGGACAAAACACAAGACTAGGAAAATTATTAAGGCCCTCTAATAGCGATGCCTGGGTGAAAGTGGCGATTCACGATTCACAAATATCACCAGTACTTCATATAACTTTTTTTCCTAAAAGTCTTCGTAACCAAGTTATGGGCCCTCGAAGTTACAAAATGAAAAATGTTTTTCTTTGATAACTTTTCAAGTGAATATTCAAAATCATCCAAATTTTNGTGGACCTCCAGAAAGGGACATTGTTAATGAAAGAGTTGCAACAAATTGATATGTTGTGGCTGTTTATAAAAGATAAAATTAATTACTAAGAAAGGTATCTTACTTGTATTGCATGCGTAATCCTTCAAGGGTGTGGTAGCTCTAATGATTCTTGTGGGATGTAACTGTTCAACTGGTACTACTCTTATGGACAGCCTTCTATTGAATGTTGGATACTTCTCAGGCACGTCGCCCTTCTGACTGCAACATTTTTCTAAAACAACCATATATGATCATTCTATTATGATACCAGGCTAGCTAAAAAATATTTAAAACTTACCAATATCCCTTTGATGTGGTTTTTCTACTGTATTGCCAATTAATATACTACTTCTTCTATATAATGACAAAGAACGTCGCCAATTTTTACCAGATTTTAATACTAGAATCTTGGCAGCAGGAACTTTAAAACCATCTGCATCAATTGGACTACATTCTTGGATTGAACTTTCAATAATGTCAGATGAATGTTCTTTATAACTTTCTTGGAGAGAAGTTTCACTAATAAATGATAATTTATGTGGTTCTGATGTATGAGTTATATTATTTTTATAAGAATTCACACTTGTATATGTAACTTTAATGGTTTCACTATTTTCACTCCTTGAATTTGACAATGAGTTTGATCTAATAATAGTATTTTTCTCGCTACTATTTAACACATCATTTTGTTGGCTATTTATCTGAAATGTCTCTTTGTATGTATTTTTTTATTTTGTATTTATACATTTATAATTTGACAAGTTCTACTCCCGTAAGAGTTCTTGTACCAAAGAACCAATAAAGATTATCTATCTATCTACGTATCTATGCTGATCCTCAGTATTAGATTCTCAGTCGCATCATAATGTTGCTTTCATCTGTCATTTGTCTCAAAGGTCAAGAACATTAAAAAAATCTGCGGTTCCATTATGGGATTTCATTAGAGACTAGTTTGGTACATTCTAAGCAAGAATGTTATGAGGGTTGTTCAAATGCCAATCCTTATATTCAGTGCACATCATCAATTGACTTGAATGAGACTTTTTCCTGAGAATAGTACAGCTAACTTGTCACGAGAGGCAGCACTAGTAGTAGGTACAAACATAAACTATTCACATGTAAAACAGTGTTATTTACGTAATAATAATATTCAAAAATATAAATCTGATATAAAAAATTATTTTGTGCTAGTATAATGCCAACAAAGCATTGCTGTTTTGCGAATTGTACGTCGGATTATCGATATCCGAGAAAAAAAACGTGTTTTTATACCATTTATAAAACCTCATATTAATGAGGTTAGATGTAAGAAATCTGTTTAAAATATGTTTTTCCGTTAACCAGCTGTCGCACCCCTACGAACGACAACCCTCAGAAGTCGAAACTTGTGCGAGCTAAGGATTAACGAGGTCTTACCTTTTAACGTGTGATTCCTAACACGGGTTGGACGATAGCAAGTGAAGATCGATCGTTCAGACTAGGGCTTGAACCACCGACCAACATGCTTTGGGGAGAGAGGATTTTACAGTGCAAAAAATAAATGAATATTCATATGTATGCTCTAAACATGAAATGAATTGTAAATTTTACATAGTTAATTACCATTGATTAGAAAGAGATATAACCTCAATCGTTTATTGAATTATATTCATTTATTATATTTAATTAAATTTATTTCATTACCATCTATATTTGATTCATATTTCACTCGGAAATAAATCTGAAATTCATAATTATTTTAAATTTCTTTTATTACCTACAGTTTGAATCTACCGCTACTCTTTTACTAGAGTCTATATACTAACCTGTCTATTAATTAACTTTTTTTCCAGTAAGTTTTAAATTACGGCATGCAAGCCAATGTTTTAATGTTACAACATTGTTGTCCTTTACAGTTGCAAATTTAAGTTTTGCTCCAGGAACATCTTCTTCTGTTAAAAACATTCTTTTTTAAATGTACTTTACCATATGTTTATATGAGGATTAGGCAGTGTTTGTTCCTACCGAACTACTAGCGCTGCTAGTGAGTGATTTTTCGTACTTCAGGAAAAAGTTTCATTGTGCTGTAGGTTTTTTTTAGTTGAAATAGCAAGTGGACCTCCAGAAAGGGACATTGTTAATGAAAGAGTTGCAACAAATTGATATGTTGTGGCTGTTTATAAAAGATAAAATTAATTACTAAGAAAGGTATCTTACTTGTATTGCATGCGTAATCCTTCAAGGGTGTGGTAGCTCTAATGATTCTTGTGGGATGTAACTGTTCAACTGGTACTACTCTTATGGACAGCCTTCTATTGAATGTTGGATACTTCTCAGGCACGTCGCCCTTCTGACTGCAACATTTTTCTAAAACAACCATATATGATCATTCTATTATGATACCAGGCTAGCTAAAAAATATTTAAAACTTACCAATATCCCTTTGATGTGGTTTTTCTACTGTATTGCCAATTAATATACTACTTCTTCTATATAATGACAAAGAACGTCGCCAATTTTTACCAGATTTTAATACTAGAATCTTGGCAGCAGGAACTTTAAAACCATCTGCATCAATTGGACTACATTCTTGGATTGAACTTTCAATAATGTCAGATGAATGTTCTTTATAACTTTCTTGGAGAGAAGTTTCACTAATAAATGATAATTTATGTGGTTCTGATGTATGAGTTATATTATTTTTATAAGAATTCACACTTGTATATGTAACTTTAATGGTTTCACTATTTTCACTCCTTGAATTTGACAATGAGTTTGATCTAATAATAGTATTTTTCTCGCTACTATTTAACACATCATTTTGTTGGCTATTTATTTTTACATGTGATGATACCAAGGATGATACATTCTTAACGACTTTATTGGGTTTTTCTATAAAAGAACTTTCAATTACCGACTCATCACTGTGGTTGTTTGAACAACTGAATCCAGTATTTGAATTCGTATCTAAACAGCTTCCTGAATCAGATACACTATAATTTTCAGAATAAAAATTCTCAAAAATATCTACATTTTGTGTAAGATCAACCAAAAGTTTTTTGTTTGTACATTGGGGAACATATTTGGTCAACATGTGATGTTGATTTCTAGTTAAATTTACTATGAGATCTTTGTCCTCTTGAGCATTTTTGGCAGTGTTGATTACATTTTCACATTGACTTATTTCTCTGATACTTTTTGAATAGAACTCTTCAAAACTTGACAAACTGTTTCTGACAGAGCTTTCCCTTTTAGACCTTAGTGTTGATTCAGGTATTCTGCTTAAATTAACAACTAATTCCTTCAGACTTATAGTTTCCATATCACTTTCATCCTCGGATGATTTATTTTCACTCAAAATATCACAGATTTGAGGAAACATCTTTGACTGTTCAATTGTCGATTTATTTTGCGCCACAAAAGATCTACTATTTTCATAATTTTCTCTAGAACTTAATTTCAACTGACTGTCTGAACATACTTTCCGCCTTTTGGTAATGAAATTCACAGGAGTTTCACATTCTTCCTGGCAATTTGTCTCTGAATGCAAATTTGATTCCTTGGAGCTCTGAGAATTATTTTGATTTTCAAAAGTACTAAAAGCATCCAAACTCACAATCAAGCGATTTTGGGGCATTGAGGATGAATGAAAATCTGATCTCTCTACTGATTTCATTGGAGATGTATAGCTTTCAGGATTGATTTTAGAACTCTCATCAATTTGAATCACATCTTGTTCTTGCTTAGTGAATCCTTTAAAGCTGCATTCCTCAGAACTATTTCTAGGTGGTTTTGAAGATCTTTTTGCAAGACTTTCATTTTGCATCATATTTGTTATTGGAAACTTCTCATCCCACTTTTTGATTTCTTCAAAAGACTCCTTAACCAGCGAGCTTATATTTTTGATGGGGGACATAGTATGGTTGTCAACAATCGCTCGAGATTTGGTTATAGGAGTACTGCAATGAATATGTTGCTTATCACGAAATGTCTTTGTAAAGATATTATTGTAAATGGGTTGGGAGCTATTCACTTCAGTAAAAAGACTAGGAATTTTATCCACAATAATGTAACTTGAAGAATCATTATTTTTCCGTGCAGATTCTATTTCTAGACTAGCATCTATTCCATCCACAGTTGGTTCTGTTAATCGATACTGGTATGGGTTAGTCATGTTGTTGGAGTTATTTTCTACACTAGAAGATATTTCCTGAATGCTTGAGGACTTTGATAATTTGGCATTCAGTCTACTCCTTGTCATAACTGGGGAGTAAAAACTTTTACTTCCTGTTACAGATCTGGATTTGCTTTCATTGAGCAGCAATTTCGAAATATTTGACTCCTCAGGTTGGGATTGAGCCTTGTCTTTTTTACGAACATTTCCTCTTAAAAGCTTGTCAAAAGTATCTTCTGTAGAAACATGGAGGGAATCTTCAAAAATGGTTTCAGATCTAGTTCTTGGAGGTAGTGGTTTGATTGAACACATGTTTTTTTTCCTCTTTCTTCCAATAAGCCTTTTGGTCATGTTTTTTGCAAATAGAACATTGAAAGCATCGATGGAATTGTTCACAATACTGCTATTCGACCGACCGTACGTTTTCATTTTATTAACTGGAGCCATTATTTACTTGTTCAGTCATAAAATTGAAACAGCTTTTACTTTAGTTTTTGAAAATAACAAATAACATAACAACTAAAATACATTTGAAACCACAGAACCACAAGTATCAGTGTTGTTCCTGATCGAAGAAAATTTGTAACAGATTATATCGAAAAAAAGTAACATTTGACAGGTACGATGATTCTTCGGTCAAGACCGTGTAGAAAGACACGTACTGAAGTCCCAGGGAACGCGAGTTACTTATTTACTGTTCCACAGGCGAAGCGATACGAACCGATTTAAATAATGCCCCCTGGGGGGTTAGGTTGCTGAGGTTAAATAGGGTTTAGTGTCTAGAATCGTCGATTTTTTATCGAATTTAATTTTTTATTGTTTTTAGTGGATTTTTCATCCCTTTATTCTGTTGTAATGTAACTTATATTCAATGTACTATATGAAATTTTATTAAAATAATTACAAAAACTTTTAACTTTTGAATGAATCGCACCACGCCGAGACGTTGGCAACACTATACTATGTTAGCAGATTATCTTCAAAAGTGGTAGTTGAGGTATCAAACGTACAGGAGACGTGTGAAAATGTTCTTCAATTGTCGTTTTGATATCATAACTGTTATGATATTGATATGTCAACTGTCAATGTTGATGTATTGATTGTCAGTTGAAAGTTTCTCAAAATGTACCTACCTAACTTATAGTTGATAAAGCCATCTGTGATGATGGCGAAACGTCGACCTTTGAAGAATGCGCAACCTGAAGAAGCATATATGTATACAGTGTGACACACTTAAGATGAAGACACCCCTGCATTTTAGTCATTTTTGAAAGCAGAAATTAGATTTTTGGTACAGGAATAGACCTTCATGGGCCACACTTTTCTCAATAGTTAGCCCGAGTGACGGCCTCAAACCCAGCCTACTGCGATCCCTCGAAAAAGGTAAATTTTCGATGTTCTGCTTCGCGTTGAAGATACCGAAATGAGTCATTTGAAAAAGTTGCTCAGAAATCGATTTCGACCGTATATACCGAATTTCAACCGTATATACCGAATTTCAACATTTCGAACGTTTGTTTGAAGGTGGTTGACAATGTTTCGTGGTGTATTTCATCAGTTCGGACTTCGATTGTCTAATATAATATAAATTGAACTGAAATCCCTGAAAAAATGTTTTTCAGTTGAACTTTTTAATTTTTTTCAGGGATTTAAAATCAATTTATATTATATTAGACAATGGAAGTCCGAACTGATGAAATACCGGAAGTCGAAATTTGAATTTTTTGTAATTTTTATATTTAAGTACAATTTTCAATTACTGGTTCCGAATGGAAAGCTACAGAAATGATAAAATAGTCGAAATTAACCTTCCTATTCATAATAAATATTAGGTTTTCCATTCTCATTACTACATTATAACAAATGTATTATTGTTGATGCGTATTTTGATCATTTGCTGTGGTTTCATGTTGTCTTTACATTTTAGTTAATTATTGCTATTTGTTCAAAGTTCTATTTTCATTGAAAAGGACACAAATGTCTAATTTACCCCATACACATCTCATTTATCAAATTTTGATTGTTGTCTCGGTATTTTTTCATTGGCTTCTCAAACGAACTAAACTCGGTGAGATTTTGATCCAATAACTTGAACATAGTTCGATGTCGTTGTCGTGTTTCGGGATACAAGTTTAAATACATTTCCCATGTCCTAATACAGTTTCTATCGTATTTGTAATACATTTGTATCATATCTCTTTTTTCTTCATTCGTGAAAGACATTTTTCGCCAAAAATGCAATGACTTGTATAATAACAAAATGTCATTAAGTGTAACAAATTGAAAGTCAAATTTAAAAACATCAAAGTCAAAGCCTATTATGATAAGAATAACTTTTTTTCAATATCTCAATTTTTTTAAAAAGAATGATAACTTATGATACATTATTGAAAAGGTAAAATATGGTTCTATTCAAAACAGAAAGAATTCAATATAGCGCCCATAAGAATGATGATGATGGTGGTCGGAAGACGAAACGTCGGATATCAAATTTGAAAACACCGTTATGTAGCAGAAAAAAAGTGGCAATGTGAAAGTGCAATTTATTTTTAAATCCTTCGAAAAATAAAGCCAGAAAAAAATAAAAAAACATTTTCCGAAATTTCTGTTTTTTTCCGGATATCTCTGGATATACTTGGAATTTCAGAACTTTCTCAACGGGATATTGTTAGTCAGGTGAATGCGAAACTTTGGGTAAATATTCGTTTTGAGGGCACCCGGCGATTTTGAAAAAATTAAAAAAAATGAAAAAAGTGTACTTATGTATTTTCATGCCTAGATTACGAATCCTAAAGGAAAAAGTGGCGCTCTCCCTTATTTTCAAAGTTACGGCCCTTGAAAGTTCAGAAAAGGGCAACTTTTCAGTTTTCTTTTTCACAAGGTAAACTATTTAAAAACACAAGCGTTTATTTGGTAAATCACCTTTACACCTTAATCCTCCTTAATTGACACTTCTCGATTAAACAATCAATATTTTTCTCATAAAAAACTTAATTTAAAAACAAAAGTTTGCATCAGTCATACCAACTATGCCATTAGGTAACTTAAAAACGTAAAATACAGAGATATATAACCAAAACGCAGCTGCGTACATTTTTCAACATTTTAATTGGAAAAATGTTGATTGTTGAAGTGAAAAGTGTCAAGGAAGGAGGAATGAGGTGTAAAGGGGACCTAGTGAATAAATGCTTGTGTTTTTAAATAGTTTATCTTGTGAAAAAGAAGGCTGAAAAGTTGCTCTTTTCTGTACTTTGAAGAGCCGTAACTTTGTAAATAAGGGAGAGCGCTGCTTTTTTCTTTCGGATTCGTAATCTACGCATCAAAATACGTGAGTTCACTCAAAATTTTTTTCAAAATCGCCGGGTGCCCCAATTTAACCATCTCTCATAATTTCCGAGATCCCAATGGTGATCTGAGGCCTTCCCAGAGTTTTAATAATGTAAAATTTATTATCATAAGATAAAGACTTAAAATTATTTGTCAGCAACCAATCGACTATATCGTCAGATTTTTTAATTTCGTCCAACTTATCCATAATAAATGAAAAAAAAAACTTACCGAAAAGTGAAAACCTAAAAACACCTTGAAATTGAAAGAAAACACTTTAAAAAAACAATAAAAATATTACCAAAAAGCACTGCTATAATACAATACTGTCTGTTTTATACACAAATAACAAATTATATCAAGAAACACTAAGACGATTTAACGAAATATTTTTCAGTCCCGGTCCGTCACGGCATCCAGTCCGAATAATTAAATAAAAAACAAACGCAGTCGTATACTAACGGAGACCAACTGGAGGCTAGCCTCCTCTAACACCCTCTGCAACTGAAATTACAAATCGGGACGTATGTCGCTGGTTGGATCGGTCTCGTGGAGCCTGTGTTTTTTAAAGCGGTCGGAGGCTTGGCTCCCTTGCAACGTATGGCATTTATTACTTCGGGTTGATGGTTTATTCGTCATTCGTTCATGGGCGGTGCGTTTGAGTTTTGTTGATGCAGGATACAGTGTGGTACGTACTACGTAGTGAGTGATAGTGTTGATAGTAATGATACCCAAGCATTAAAAAAAAAATAATCATAATTATTTGTCAATATCTTTTAATTTATTGCGATGAATAGCCTCAAATTTTATGGAGAGGCTAAATCCACGACCAGAAAAAATAAAAAAATTATATATAATTTACATACATTTCTTTGGAAAAGTGTGTTGGAATTAGTTAATACTTACATTGGTGATTAACGGAAAATAGATTCCTACAGATTGTATTTTCTGTCTAGGGAAACCTCCACGGATAGATTCACGTGGATGAAACCTATGAAGAAATTATACGAGGACAAGTAGGACTAATTTACTACACGAGTTTGCCTTTTCATTGAGCCACTTTTCCAATTCTACTAGTTTGTGTATTGTAGTAGAGAAGTGTTATATCCAAGATCATCATTTCATCTACTCTTATAGAACTTTGTAAATGTTCTTTCTCATTGATTGATTCTATAGCACTTCGGGACACTTTCATTGTCTATATCGTTGCTTTTCAATTTCTAAATCCATGAACTTTGAACTACTGAAAATTCAAACAAAATAAACGGTATGATAGGTATAGATAACAGATTCAAATTCATTTTCAATATTTAATTTGAGTTATAAAGAAATCAATGCATATGCACCACCTCTGAAAATCAAGAAGTACTTTGAATGTTAATTCATTGTGTCTGGAACAGTTGGGTTCGATGCCTAATGTTATTTCTCGTTGTATTGGGTTTTATTTGGTTAGGAAAATAGATTATTATACTTCAGCAGAGAATAGAGAAATTATCGAGAATTCTTCTTACGTTGCGAAAAAATGTCGTTCTTGATAACATCGTAAATCAAATGAACATATCCAGAACGCGGGGGTCAAAAAGTGAACTGGATTAAAAAAGGATTCTTGGTGTGATATAATTAGGTTATATGGGGGATCCCAATTAAAAAAAAATGCGATGAAAAAGACGATTATTGTAGAAACGGGAAGAATGAGTTGCATCGCATTTTTAGGAGAGGATTTTCAAGGCAACGGGTCACGAAGGTTTGAGAAAAACAATCAGTTCTGTCACGAGTTGCCAGAAGAAAAATCTCGTAGACCCGTGATATGGTTGACTACAGATAAATCCCCAGTGAGAGAAACAAGTAATCTGTAAGTTAGTAAATCTTGTGAATAGGTGAGAGTCAGTGTTGCTCCGATGGAATTTCAAGTAGTAGTAACCTACCTTAAAATTGTACAACTTTTGGGAAAATTGTACAACATTACGGTTTAGTTACTAATGGGGTTGTACCCAAAATTATTACTTATATTTTTATAAGTTTTGTTGCTTAAAGCATAACCTAACCTTAAAAAAGTATGTTATTTTTTTTTGTCAATTACAATTATATATTTCTCATTTATATTTAACTCAAAAGCAAAGCAAATGTGTGGTGTGAAGTTTCATCAAAAGCATAAACCATGCAAGAAATGAATTGAATGATGTCGGAATCATATTATAAAGTTTTCAATGCTCACTGGCCTTGGCTACCAGTACTAAAAAAAAAAACAAAAA